GCACAGCTCTCACAGTCACAGTAGGGCTGTCCTCTATGCTTGGCAAGGAGTGTTTCTCCCCGACTATCCTGCCCATCTGAGTGCAGGGCAAGGAAGGGCCACCTTCAAAAATCCCAGTCCAGATGGTGAGTGCTTTCTGTCCTATGCTAATGGAGAGCTATAATTTTCACCTCCAAAGATTTGCTGCTGCTGCTGCAMTTATGTAAAGGAGTCCAGAGGCAAGTCAGTCGCTCACCTTCCCAGGAGGCAGACTCCAACTTAGGCTGAAGCTGCTGATCAGGGCTGTGTAATGAGTTTAATGTAGCACTCGAGACCTCTGTGGCATTTGAGGGTGTCCACATGCAAGAAAGATGAAGACCAATAGCAGTATGTGGTACCTCAGCACAGCYGGTGGGGTAGGTATCAGGATCATAAGACAGATCTCAGCTTCTTTCCCAAGCTCTCCCAGGACTGTGTGCGTGTCGATTCCCTGGTGCATGCTAAAGTCCACACTCCCCCTTCACTGTCACCTTTGCCTGGGCTACTGGAGGGTATAATGAAGCTATGGGAAAGTTCAAGTAGTAGGACAGCAGCTCAGGCAGATGGTGGGAAACAGTGACTCCAGCGGTCAGGACTAACAAGATGTCTTAGAAATTGTCCTTGTCTGCTGGCTAACCAGCCTTTCTAAGGYTTYGGTGTGAGAAAGCTCTRCCYACCTRAAGTGGCAGAGGGCAGCTGTCACARCTCMTTTTTCATCAAGAAGAMAATCTMCACRCAGCCTTGATCCTCATATCACAGACTGGCCAGGGCATTTGGGTGCCACGCTGCTTTTGGCCATCCTGGGCTCCCCGTGTTGCATTTGTCTCAGGCCTGAGCACAGGGAGTGGGTTTGCCACTACAAATATATGTTTCTCTGGATGTAATTCTCCATTGTTGGTCTTTTTTCAATTGAACATAGCTGCATGCTCAAACACAAGCAAACAAGCTCGCTCTGGATGGCTGTGTCCAGCAGAAAGACTCCACAATAACTCTCCTGTGGGATTAAAGTGTCAGTGCTTTTACTTGCTCTAACCTCCTCTTTGAAATGATAAAAAATGCATACATGTGCTACACCAAAAATAAAGAACTTGACTAGTATGGGTTGAGCGGGGGCTTGAACCTTGATCTCCCAAACTTGTACAAGCTGGCCAGCACGTTGTAAATACTTCTCTGTGGATTTTTCAGGAAGTTATATTCTGTAGGCGAGAAGCATTTCCTGAAACTTTCTTTTTATTAGTCCTAACTAATATTTATGAAGTGTTTCCATTACAGTAGGTGTCCATTTTCCAAATCAATTCACTAAAATGATCCCAGCCAGYTGCAGGAAGAGCAAGTTACACTCAGTGTATAAATATCCTGTATCCCACACCTCYAGCTTGTGCTGATCCCAGGAGGTGCCAGCGTGAGAAAGGAGAGAGGCAAACCCAAAGTGAACAGCATTTACTGTCCTCGGAAACTGGCACTACGGAGGGAAGAGTCCATGAGTGTGGCTGTAGTTATYGCTTAGCGTGACACACAACCCTACACTTAATATTTTCAGGGACAGACATTTTAACCCAAGCTATTTTTTGCTCCAAGATACTAGTGGATACCAAGAGTACTGCAGTCAGCTCTGAATTACTCCAGAGGTAAGTTTTCAGTGACCTGTGCAACTTCACTCACTGTACAGGTTGAAGAGCTGAAGCCCAGTTTGTTGGTCAAATTACTCTTAGATTGTCTATGAATGTGTATCTCTTTCGTTTTAGTGACATGAAATTAATAGCCAGTTCTCTAAATGTCTGTGTGAGATCTGGGGAAAAGAGAGACAGCCACAAATGACTCAAAACTCAAGAAGAATTTCAAGCAGCACTTCAGTATCCAAAGATCCCAATCTCCATACTGCCAGGGCAGCTTCAGTACTCCCAGCAGTAACCACTCTTAACTCTATTTCTGCATACGTAATGAGAAAAGTACTAAAATAAAAAGGATTCCTTATTCTTTTAAAAGGAGACCCAAAAAAAAGAAGAAAAAAAAAAGATCTTGATAGAAGTATCCTCTCAGAAACATCCATGGTCAGGTCTAGAGAGGAACACCAAAAGTYAAGAGCTGTTTGTGTCCAGGCTGCTTCTACATAACATGTCCTAGGTAACAGACCTACTCTCTTTCCTTGCAACAGAAGCCTATTTGTTTGTGCCATGTTTCAACTTCAACCTGAGAATGTTGCTCTCTTCCCTGCAGCCATCATTGAAGGAGTGAAAATCTGATGAATTTTAATGGCAGAAATTTCAATGTTAGAATTCTGTTCTAAAGCGTGACACATTTGCCCAAAGGATGGGCAAGCAGACACTCACTTAGACGACAAAGAGTGAAGGAGTGAAAGGAAGAGAGGGGACAGAGGAAGGAGATTAAAAAATGATTCAGTTTGGTAGGAGCACAGAGCTCTTTGTTTCCATGAAAACAGGAGATTGAGCCTGGACACTTCTTTACAGCTCTGAGTTTCTTTGATCTGAGATATCAAAGTGCTAGTTTGCTTAATGGTGCCAGGGTAGCACTACACACAGAGGAAAGTGACTGCTTCTGTCATCAGCTGTACCCTTGTCTGGGAAGAAAGTGAAAGATGTAAGAAATTGAAGGATTTTTATTATTATTATTCATGAAAACTTAGACCTCAATTAACTGCATAGTTTCCTTTGTGTGAGACAGAAGTATCAGCAGTGCCTGACAGCAACATCACCTACTAGAGGAAGAAGCAGAAGATGAATTATAGTAGTAATAGAGCCTGTGGAGGCAGGGGGGGCTTTTGAACGACTTCCACATTCCCTATGAGGAATAAGTCACTTCCATAACCTCGGGCTCGCTTATATGAGATCCTTAAAGTACTTTATATCAATGAGTTCTTGGATAGTTTAGATTCCCACTCTCTGCTCCTTGCTCCAAATGCAAAAGAGGTTTAGACCCCTTCATTTCCCCAGCAGCTCCTATGTCAGGTGGATAGGTCTCTGCACTCATTTGGAGTCAGAGAAAAAGCTCCCCTTTCCATGGCCTCCTCGCTTGGCCCTGTGCCTCCAGGTTGGCACATAACTGCGGCATTCCACAGCAAGCTGCCCTGTTCCGAGCTCAAACCTGGGAAACAGCAACGCAGACAGACCCATGTTGTGCCAAGGCAAAGCCAGATCACAAGGAATTGCACATACTTCACTGCAACAGCATTTCTAGGAAGGAAAAGACACCGAGTTGGCTAGAGTAGCTGCAAGTATTATCAGCAGACCCTCTAAATCCATGGAAAAGTGGCATGTAGAAGTCCCTCTTTGCCTGCACAGGAACAATTCAGCTTCTGTTTCTCCTACTCCAGCATTAAGGTGAGCTCCCTCTCACCTATATCTGACTCTGCTTAATAAGAGTTCTTTATATGCCATCAACTGGCCATGACAATTACACTTCTTTCAATCCAGAAGTCCAGGAAATCAAGCTGAATAATGGATATTAATGGGGCTATAATTCTCCAGTGGCGCCTGCAGCACAAAGCAAAGAACAAAGTCTCAGTGATGCCATATTCTACAATTAGCACTTTTATTTCCTAGGGATAACCACCAAAATGTGAGCAAAGGGAAAAGAGATCATAATACTCATTAAAAAAGAAAAAGAAATCCACAATGAGATATTGGCCTGAATCTATTTCAGGTATATGATTCATTACTTCTAAAGTTAAGCTTTCAAACAGTTTAGAAGTCTCTGCTATCACCACATGAGTGGGTAGTTATCTCTTATCCTAACTAAGCACAGCAAGAGAAGAAAAAAAAGGAGAAGGATGAAAGTACCAAAAGACTTTTAATAACACAGTTGAGCACTGCCATTTTTAACCCCTCGGTTACATTATGTTCAGGCTTGTGATGTGCCTCGTGAGGAGAGCTTATCCCTGAGGCACCAAATTTGTCTGCAAATTTGTCATGTTGAAAAGAAGGTATTTATGCCAACCGCATCTGCTCCATTTTCCTAAGAATCTTTGAAAACTAGTACAGTTTTCTAAAGTACCCTGAAATACCTATGAGTTTGTTAAAAACTATCTAACAGAAATCTCCAGATTTTTTTAATGCAAGAGTCAGATGATCTCAGGTTCTCACATGGATCTAATGAGATATCCTGGTGACTGCATAATTCCTTCCCAAACTATAAGGATGGCATCCTTGCATCATGACAGTCTTCACAGTCTTTTTTTTTTCCTAGGCCTCCCCCGCCCTTTTTTTTTTTAAACATAGAACATGAAATCCAGCTCTAGCATTAAGTTTTAGATTGATTTTCTTCAGAGAACAGGATAATTATAGTGTGATACACGTGCAAGAGCCAATCCAAAGAACAAGAATCTTGGAGTGTTTATCTTAAGAGTCATCTGGAAAAACAGACACGTAAACTACTAGAAGACAAACTATTTTGAAAACCTACTATATACTTTTTCTGTTATGTTGTACCTTACTCATCATACATCTGCAAAACACCTCAGGTTTTTTTTTTTTTGGGCCATTATTTCAAGCTTCAGGATCTTGCTTTCTCCCCTCCACTTTTGTCAATTTTATCCAGAGTAGAGGTCCATTTTTACATATGTTCAGAGAACATCTGTGTGGAGATGCCTAGACAGCCACCAAGGCTACCTGCACATTCTTAAAACTTTATTTGCTATAGCCATCCTGAAGAACTGCTAGACTATTAAGAAATTTGGTCCTAGCCTTAAACTGTAAAGGGATTTGATAGGGAAATTTTAGCATTAAACCCAGCTCCACGGAGAGGTGCTTTCAGTTGCTAAGCCTTCCAAACTGCTTTGGAATTGTTTTTGGGGGGCTGTGATTTTTTCCAGCCTTCTTCTCTGCCATCCTAGCACCATCCTCAAAGTTATAACTCATGCTGCTATTAAAGTCCAAGCCTATATTGTGGGTTTCTCAGGGAAAGTCTCTTGGTTTAGAGACAGTCACCCATTGACTTCAGTTGTTGGTCCCAAGGAATAAAAACAAAGAAAAAAGTCAGGCTGTTTCTAGCTGTTGGCATGGGAGTAGCGATAAGAAGAGCTGAATATATCCAAACCTGAAAAACTGCCAGCCATAACAAATGCCATTACAGCATAGCCCTGCGTGTATTCTGGAAGAAGCTCAAGAGAGCTACTGCCCCAAGAAAAAGTTTAGATTAGGGCTATATTTCTGATAGTATTTTCCTCTGTCCTTCATATAAATAGTTGTGATAGTTAAATGGTTATTCTCAGGTGTAATGGGGATACTTTCAACAATTTTTGTGTGTACTTTTAAAAATAAATTCTTGGAAGATAGTTGTGAAGTACTCCAAGAGCTCCTTACCCCATCTTTCCCTTCTCTAGCCTGCCTCAAAGAGAACTTACACGCTGAATTTTAGATACTCTTTCAAGAAAATAATAAGTGTATATATATGCACACACCTAGCACCTTCCTTTAAAGAACTTTTCCTGAAAAATTGCTGGCTTATTTCATTATAAAGAGGCAATGTTGTTCAAGTTTCGGTGTTTTGGCAGACGGATATTTTTCTAGTATAAGAGCAATGATGATCATACACATAAACCCTTATCTAAGAGCGAGGGTTAGTTAAATGGGTGCTCTTCTGCAGAGCATTAGCCCTCAGCAGTTGTGTGATGCAAGCTGACAAGGGTCTACACAGAACAGCTATTATCTGAAAACTGTTCTCTGCAGAGGCACTGCTTAATTTTGAAAGTAGGTAGAGAACAAGTTCTAGACCTTCAAGTGTCTGCCCAGGAAAAATGCTTCTGTGCAACTAATACATCCTATAGTCACAATAAATTACATCTCCACAAACAAAATGCAGAGAAACCCTCACCTTGATGAAAGGGAAGACCAGGAAAAGGATCATTTTCCCAAACTGAATATTATTAAGCACACTTAATATAACATCTTCAAGATTCAGCCTTCACCATTCTTCTTCTCTTCCTTTACCCTTGCTTTCCCATCCCATTTACATTTTGTGTCAGTTTATGCCAACTCATTTCTCTGTTGTAAAAACTAATAATCTTCACTTGCCATTCTTAGTCTAAAGGCACCAACCTTTCTTCAGTGTTCATAATAATAAAACTCCTCAGTCTGTTTTGTTCTTTACCTCTGCAGACACTGAAACAGCAGTTGAAGGAGCTATGACAGCTCCAATGCTTTAGGGGGAGCAGCTAAATTAGCACCTATCATTTGTGCACATGTAGGCAGCATTATTCTCCCTTCCATCCCAAAGTGCAGTACAGGATTGACTTTATTGATGCATAAGTATTTTCATAGTATGCAGTTTGCACAATAGTCAAGAAAGTTAGCCTTGAAGTTGCCATTTCAAGCAGCTGTACAAGTATATTACTGCTCTGCATCTTCTCCTCTTTGACTTTTCCACTACCCCAGCTCTTCACACAGAGCCTCCAGAAGAGGAAGCAAACAGCATTTGACCCCAGCACTTTGGGGCCAAGTTCACAGTCTGCATGCACACCTGTGAAGACACAGGCCTCAGAAAAAATAATTTTTAGAACAACATTCAAGCTCTTGCCTTCATTTTTCTTCAGCCTTCTCTTACTTCTGCAGGTTGCATGTTTCAGTGAGTAGGCTGGACCTCAGCGGGGTCTGAAGGAGCATGGGGGAAAGCTGTGGTGTTCTGCACCTCATGTAAAAAGTCACACTCATACTCCCCAGACCCTAACACTGGGTCCAATTCCATTTATTCCATTTCCAAGACTTAGGTAATACTTACTGCCTTTGCATTTCACTACAGCCAAAGGCTTCTGGAGGTAGAAAGGAAGGGAAGGGGCAAGTGTCACTGAATAAAAGCTGCTAGTGTGGGTCACAAGTCCCTTCCATGGACAAGTCCCTTCCCATGGCTTGCCTGAATGCCCCAGCTTTGCCCAGCAATAGCCTCTTTTACCTTCCATCACAGATGACTAATGGCTGTTCTCTCCCTCTCAAGGCAGCCTGCTTACAAAGGGAACAAGGGGGTTAACTTACACTCAGATAGCCCAGGCTGCAGGGTTTGACTCAAGGCTGCAGAGCCATACAACTGACAACAGAAGCACTTTCTGAAATTAGCCCAAGCAAAAAAAAAAAAATCTAGGTCTGAACAGCCTCGCTTGGATTGTTTGTTCCCCTGCACTTTTCCTCCTCTTTGGCTCTCTTCATAAATCCCAAGAAGCTCCTCCTGACAGCTCAGTGGTGTTAGCATTGACAGATGCTTTGCTATAATCTTCGCCATGCCCTTCAGAGACAGTCAGAGCATCCAAGTGCTCTCTGCTTTCCACATATCTTGACGATGAAGTAGCCGTGATAAAGCTCCTGGGCTCTTCCGACTCCACTTCTGACATGCATCCTGTGAAAAAACACTCAATTCAGTGATAAAAGCATCAAGAGAAGATAGTAAGAGCTTTCCACAAAGTCTGCCAGTTCTGCCCATGTTCGAAGGTAAATAAAATCAGCAGGAAATGGTGATTCAAATCAGTGCCTGAAAACAAGAAGCAAGTTGGCCAAACATCCAGGCTAACATAGCAGTCAACCTCAAGGGTTCTCACTGATGAGTATGGAAGAAAAGCTGGGATTTCTAATACTAACCTAGTGACCAACCTTTGACAAGAGCTATGAAATACCTTGATTTCTCTGCACATTTTATTATGCTCTAGAAACACAGCAACAGAGCTGGGTTAGTCTACACACACACAGAGCCTAGTAAGGTTTGACTGACTATGTCAGAGAGCAAATCAACAGGGAAATATTCAGAAGCAGCTGAGTAGGTTAAAGCAGTGCAGGAGGAGAGAAAACAATCACCAATGAAAACTATGTAACCCTTTAGTACCTAGCATAATGGGGTTGTTTCACCTCCCAAGGCAACATTTTTTTTTAAGTCATACCCTGTGCAAAACAGCTTTAATTCTGCTTAAGGATGATTCCTCCTGCACCAACGTTTATGAGCTTTCTGCTAGGATGAAGCACTGGCACCTCAGTGTCTCTGTGTACCTGTGAAGGATGCCAGTAGCACAGGGCAAGTAAGATGGGAGCTGAATCCCTGGGCAGGCTGGCAATCCCCAAGTGCCAAAGGGAAGGTGGAGGAGCGTTCTCCTCCTGAGGAGCTACTATGGGACGAGCAGCACTGCAGAGCAGAGATGCAATAAGTATCAGAGGGTGCATGCAAGCCTGGCTACCTGGCTCCTGCACACATGCTTCATTCCTCTAGGAGAGATTGGGCCCTGCACTTGAAAACAGCGGAGAAGGGCAGAAGGGCAGCTATAGGGAAGGACAGTAAAGCTGATCAGATTGAGGTATAACAGCTTTTCCCAGTTTGCTTTAAAAGCCTGTTTGGGCATTCAGGGTCACTCCCAATTTAGGACACTCCAACACGTTGCACTTTCCTCAGCTTTGACCTCACCCACGAGGGAGCTGTTCCCATTAAGGCAGGAACCTGGCTGCATTTCCAAAGCTGCTACAAGCTCAGCACCACAGGGCCGTGCTGATGTTGCTCTCAGTGCTTCTCCTTCAGGAGGGCCCACGTTGCACGCGGAGACCCTCCTTGCCAGATCAACTTGTTGACTTGTGCAGTAACACATCTCCTCCTGAAGAGGAGCAGATTGCTTTTTAAAGCCATGAATGACAGTGCTGCCTTGTCACTAGCGTCACCTTGTACCTTAAGGGTACTTTAGCCTTTTCATCACTTCTCGTGCCTTACCCAGGACTCAGACTCTGCTCATGCTAAATGCAAGTGTAAACAGATCTTGAGTAATAGTCCCTGTCCTGAGGGACTCCAGGTCTTAAGGACAGACAATTAAAGAAATAAACTACCACCTCATTTCATAGATGGTAAAGGAGAAGTAAAGGGGATAAGACAGCATATGCAAGGGCACAGGAAATCTGTACAGCAATGTTAGTGGAGCTCTGCTATTCAGGGTGAGCCTTTTTCTAGTCACAATACGGTCTCATCTCTTTTCTAGGCTACACTCAGTCTTCCTGCCCCCACCCTCACCCAGCAAGTCTGCCAAAACTGAGGGGCAGTGAGGGGGGAGGCAGGGAGTGTTTTAAACCATGCACTTCAGTTGCACCGTAATATTTGGGGTCTCACACTTGCTAACCCAGCCCCTTGTATATGACAGCCACACAAGGTTCTACACAAGCAAGGAGCTATTACCTTGTTTGCATGCTTCTCCCACGAAGTTTGTGTACGTTTGGGGCACACTTGTTGGCTGTTCCCATGCCGAGGTCCCGAGCCCATCATCGCTTCCCTGCAGTACGTTCTCTTCAACCCCTGAAGAGGTACAAAGTGCCTGCAGGCAACTTACCACAGCTTACTGGGCAACAATCATTATGGTTAAGCATTTCCTGCAATGCAAAGGCTATTTCACTTGTACCTAAAGGCTATTTCACTTGTACAGAAACCAATGGTCAGTATGTGGCTCAAAGCCTTTGGAGCTTTGAACCTTTTATGTGAAACTGCATGTAAAGGGTTCCTGTGCAGTAGGTTGTGCAAATCCTTGTCACCACTGGCAAGGATTTACATCTACAGAGCACTGCAATTCCCCTCCTCAAATTGCCTGATCTACAGGAAATCCACAAAAGCTGTTACAGCTGATAGCCAGTGGTCAGCAGCCAGTTGCTTTCGACCCAAGCAAATGGAAGAGATCTCCAGCCAGCTCTTGGCTCACTTGCAGAGATGATCTGGCTACCATACAAGTGGTTGGATGGTTAATCTTTTTTAGTTTTTTAAAAAAAGTTCTCATATTTAGTTCACACCTGTACTAACACTCCTCTTAAGTCAGTGTGGGACTAAGAATGACCTTGCAAGGCGAAAGAGGCAGATGACAGCAGTACAAAGCAGAAGAATTAATTCTCATCTGACTTGAGTGAATGGAGTATTATCCCCACTATTCTTTACTATATACTTTACTATATACTTTAATTTCCTGTTCATAGCAGCAACACACTTGATTCAGGATACAGGAAAAGTATATCCTTATTACCAGAAACCCTCCATTTTCCATTAGCAGAAATATAATAAAATACAGGATGGGTAGGAATATGAAAACTCTGTCCAGGATTAGCTCTTTCCTTTCCCAAGAAAGGCTGTGGGACAAAGCTACTCACTAAACAGGGAATTACATTCTTGGCTGTAGGAGAGTGCACATGCAGGCAAGGGAAAAGGATAAGGTTTTAGAAGACAAATATTTGGCATCAGCTTTTTCCCAGTGCAACCACTTTGAGCCAAAGTCCAAAGCTAAGCATTTCTTCAATGACAAATCAGTTTACTTAACATGAGCAAAAAGATCTAGACTTGAAGCAATTTGGAGGCTCTCTGGGTTCTCTCAGGGAATATCCCATTGGATTAAATAAAGTGATATGTTTATCCATTTACCAATGAAACTACAGAACTAAGTTACCCATGGTCAGAGGAACTTCAAGTAGAAATGAAATTGCTGAGAAAGAAACAGAGAGAAATGGTACAGTGAAGAGCATGACAGTGCTGAGGGTCATCTAAGTCATCTCAGTTTTCTTCCCATGTTTCTGTATATAAGGGCCACCAAGTTAAGGAAATTAGTCTCTAGGGGACCTATCACTTCTGTGGGCAATGTCAGTCCTTATTTACTACTAGCTGTTATAAATTATTCCTTCACTAGCGTTTCTTTGGAGAAATGTGTTCTGAAGTGTGGCGTTATTTGTATCTAGATACATACGAGCACTAGTTCAGTTTATGGTGTTGTCCCAAATAGTTCTGTATATCAAAGTCTAAGACTGCGATTTGCAGCAGAAGCATCTTTTCACTGAGAAAACTGCCCAAAGTTTAGCACTTCTGCCTCAAATTGAATATAAACACACATGTTGTACTACTAAAACAATTCCATTCCAATTTCTACATAGTTTTGTGTAGGAGAAACAGATGAGGAAGAGGAAAAAGACTACTTCCCACAGGAAAATTAATGATACCACCTGGATTTTTCTTCTTCCCTCTCAAGTTTCCTCAAAAAAAAAAAAAAAAAAAAAAAAAAAAAA